CCGGCCGCCCCACGGGTCACAGCTTGGGAATGGGCCCTGTACGTTGTCACCGCCGAAGGCTTCCTCCTTCCAGGGTAACGTGGCCCCCCAGCCTGTTGGTCCCCGGTAGCAGGCTGGCCTTGGGCTTCCGTATCCTTCCGCCCATAGACCCAGGCACCCTCACAGCACACAGCAGGCAGGCAGGGCATTTTGTTGAATTGGACTTGATAGGAGAAGCTTGGTTGAAAGGTAGCTTTTCTCTTTTGTTTGCCTTCTGGGGGAGAAATTGATGGAGAAGATGATGTCTCCTGGGAGGAGGAGAAGGACGGGCAAACCCCGCCCAGCAGGGCAGCCGGTAGGCACACATGGCCACTTAAGTTTAAATGATTAAATTTAGTTATTTAACACAAAACTAAAATTCAGTTCCTCAGTAGCCCTGGCCACATCGCAAGCGCTCAGCAGCCTCACGTGCCTGCCATATTGGACACGGTAGACTTAGGACGTTGACGTCATCACGGGATGTTCTGTTGGGCAGAACTGGATGATTGACATGTCAGATCTTCAGATTCACTGTTCACCCAGCGAGCATGTCACTGAACAGGCACGATGTTGGGCTCCCGGTGGAAGAGAAAGACACCAGCTCTCGGTGGAGCTGGGGGGGGCTTATACCTCAGGCCTTGGGCCTGACGCCACCTGGCCGCCACGCCACACCGCTAGCTCCCCTGTGCTCTGTGCAGGCAGCTGGGGGCCTCCTTCAGGAATGATGGCTGAGTGCGGAGGAGTCCGGCCCCGTCTGGGCTGCTTCTCTCCATTGTCTTGGTTTCCGTCCACAATGACCTGGAAGAACTCCCAAAGCAACAGGCCGGCCCAGGCTGTTTGCACCAGTAAACCCTGCAGCAGTCCCAGGGGCAGAGAGTCGCTGGGTTGTATTTATTTAGGAACAGCCGAAACTTGAGGCACAATAAAAAGTGGAGAGAAGATTCCAGAGAGGAATGCAGCCAGCCCCAGGCCCGGAATCTGTCCTGCTCTGGGAGGCTGCAGGCGGCCAGACAGGGGCCGGCCCCGGAGGGTCTCGGCCGGCTGCCCGCTCTGCTGGCAGGTATAGTAGCCGTGGTCACAAGAGGGTGGGGGGTAGGGGGGTCAGGATGGAGCTCCTTTCTTTTTAATGCAGGGAAGCAAACTTGAGTGGCTGAGTCTAGTCGTGAGTAGGAAATGAACGGAAAAGGCATCTTTTAACGTGAAAGGTCGTACAGGCCCTAGAGTTTGGAGCTCATTGTGGAGGCATCACAACTACCTGCCTCAGGGGAGGGAGAGGTGAGAGGTGGCAGGAAAAGTGAGGCCAGAGCCCTCAGGAAGCGTCCTTTCAGCCGAACCCCTCTGTCCTCGCCTCCTCACCAAGGCCGTGCTCCTCTGTCACTCCCCCCTGAGGCCCTGCTGCCCACAGCAGAATCACCTGGAGTGCGTGTTCCTTTCCTCTTGGCCTGGCGGTGGGACCCCAGGCCCCCCAGGGACACCTCTTACTTTTGTGTCCCCCCCTCAGCCTGGTGCGGGGAGACACGATGTGCTTCCTGGAAGGGGGCAGAGCAGTTTTTTCTAGATAAAGCAGTCCTCGTGCTCTGTCTTCACCCTGCACCAAGCCCCTTGGAGGGGATGCTGACCATGAAAGAAGGGGACCGGGAGTCTGCAGATCACAGGTGCAGGTCTGTGGGGGTTATGGACAGAAGCTGCACCTTGAGATCTGCCTGGAAGGGACTGTAGGGCAATAGGGCAACAGTGTCCACCCCAGGACATGGGCAGCTGGGCTGGCAGGGACCTGGGGTTTGCTGGCTGGCACAAGTGGTTTCCTGAAGCTCTGGCCTGGGGGGTGGGGGGCGTCTTGCCTCTCCAGAGCAGCAAATGCTGGTTCAGCTTGGGAAGTGCTGGGTTAAAGGAGACCAGCCCCTCACTGGTACTGCTCACTGCATGTATTATGCTCACGTGCCTGGTGAATCTAAGACAGGATAAAGCTTCACAGAACCTAGAACCCTGGAGGATGGAGCCCTGTGGGGAACCCACTCTGGGGACAAGGGGTCTCGCCTGGCCTGGCGAGTAGCCCTTGAGTGATGGGTGCTGGAGAGGAGGCCGGACTCAGTGAGCATTGGGGTTGGCTGTCCCCATCCCCTACTGATTGGCCTCACCCCGCCTCTGCGCCAGCCTCTGTGCTGGCTCGGAACTAACTCAGGCCTCGTCCAAGCCAATCGGTGCTGCCAGCTTTTTGGTTTCAAATTATCCCCCACTTGGGCCAGAATGCTTGGATTTTTAGGCATGGTGGGGGAATGGACCTTGAGCCAAACTATGCCGAGGAAAACCGAGGGCCAAAGCTGTGCTCAGCCGCTGCACCAACCGCAGCAGTGAAATCCACAGTGTGCAGCGGGGGACCTGCGGGAGGCAGCTGGGGTGGAGGAGGCCTGGCCGGGCCCCGCCCCTTGTCCTGGCCCACCAGCCAGCCTGGGCCCCGCCCCTTGTCCTGGCCCACCAGCCAGCCTGGG